TATTCTCCAGCAGGGATTTATTGTTTTGGGCTTGATGGCTTTCATGGCTTTTTCTGTAACAGTGATGGCATCTTTAGTGATGTAATCCTTCTAAAATTTTTTTCTAATGTTCGTTTATTTTTGAGAGAGAGAGAGACAGCATGAGTAGAGGAGGGGCAGAGGGAGAAGGAGACACAGAATCTGAAGTAGGCTCTGTGCTCCCTGAGCTGTCAGCACAGAGTTCCATGCAGGGCTCAAACCCACAAGTTGCAAGATCATGATCTGAGCCAAAGTTGGATGCTTAACTGAGCCACCCAGGTGCCCCCTTAGTGATGTAATCTGTCTAGACTATCATGATGTTCTCTCTATCAGGGTTCTCTTCCATATTGTTGACAGTTTTTTCCAAAGACTACTCTGCATAATGAGCCTTTACTGTCTTTATGACTCCCTGATCTAGAGGCTGAATTAGAGACATTGTGTTTGAGGGCAAGTAGACCATTTAACGCTTTTGGTGTTGAATTTGTAGGGTTCTGGATGGCTAGGGGCATTGTCTAATATCAAAAGAACTTTAAAAGGCAGTCGTTTACTGCCAGGGTACTTCCTGGCTTCAGGGACAAGAATTGATGGAACCAATCTAAAAAAAAAGCCTTCTTGTTGTATTTTTATAACCAAAAGACTGATATCTGGTATTTTTTTCTCTTCAAGGCGTTGGGTTAACAGCTTTATAGATAAGGGCAATCCTTACCTAAACCCAACTGCATTTGCGCCAAATCCCTTCACCTATCCCTTCCTGTCTTTTTTTTTTTTTTTTTTTAAATCCCTCCTGTCTTAAATCCTAGTGCTCACTTCTCTTTCTTACTAATGAATGTCCTTTGTGGCTTTTTCCCCTGCTAAAAAAGGGCACTTTTGTCTGTATTAAAAACCTGTTCAGGCAGACCTCCTTTCTTCTCTATTATTTTCTTAAAGGCTCTGGGAACTCATCAGCCTCTTGGTTGGCAGAAGCTCCTTCCCCTATTATCTTGATTTTTTTTTTTTTTTTTTTTTTAAGCCAAACCTCTTTCTAAAATTCTCAAACCATCTTTTGCTGGTTAAATTCTCTGGCTTTAGATCCTTCACCTTCCTTTTGCTTTAAGTTATAATCACTTAGCTTTCCCTTGAATAATAGTAAAGCCTATAGGTATGCCTTTCTTAGAGCAGTCCTCCTATAAAAGCTGTACTTGCAATACAGGCTAAAAAGGTATTTGACAAAATGTGCAAGGTTTTTGTACCTGCTGGCATAGCCGCAGTGATGGCTTCACAAATTTCCTTTCTTTTTAAACAATGGTCTTTTAGGCTGGTGGGCAACTGCAGACCTCAGTCAAGTGATTCAACTCTTGTAATGTTATGACTTTTCTTTGCTTCTTGGGAGCTTCCAGCATCACTAGTGGCACTTTGTATGGGTCCTCTGGCATTATTCAAGGTTTAAGGTATTGCACTAAACACAAAAAATATGCAAGAACCACAGGAGATTACTTTTTACTGTGATCTGCAATTCACTAGAAAGAGATGAGCTGTTCATGCAGAGATGATTAGTGTCACAGGGCATTTTAAGTGGATACTTAACAATACTTGAGCCTACTGCAATAGCAACAGGAGATGGCTGCAAAATTATTATAGTAGTGCAACATGTACTACAGTTAGTTTTATGCAATTATGATTTAGTACTGTATTTTTACCTTTGTTTAACATTTCTATCAACTGCAAATGGCACCAGGTACAATCTATAAGTGTTGGCAAAAAATTTTGATGAATTTTAACTTTTTATGATTTGTACATATTTTATGGTAGTAAATGATAAAATAGATATGTATTTTATGCATTCATGACATATCTAATGTTTTCTTAAGCTGTTCTATTTCTAGACTTATGTGGTTTGTGAAGTTTTTCAAACTATTGCAAATCTCCAAGAAATTTTCCAATATATTTATTGAAAAAATCTGTGTATAAGAGGACTCCTGCATTTCAAACTCCTGTTGTCAAAGGGTGAACTATATAGTCAAATCCTAGAGGGTGTAAAGTGTTACTTATTGTGATTTTTGAAAAATAATTTTGTATTTAAGTTAGTTTATTTATTTTGAGAGCAAGGGAATGAGTGAGAGAGAGTGGGGGTGGGGGTGGGGGAGGAGACAGAGAGCAAGGGAGAGAGAATCCCAAGCAGACTCCATGCTGTCAGTATAGACCCCCACAGGGAGCTCACTCTCACAAACCATGAGATCATGACCTGAGCTGAAAGCAAGAGTCCTATGCTTAACCGACTGAGCCACCCAGGTGCTCCATGATTTTGATTTTTATTCCCTTGGTGGCTGATGATCTTATCTTTTCATGTGGTGCTGGCCATTTATATATCTTCTTTGGAGAAATGTCTGTTCAGATCCTGTGCCCATTTTTAATTCAATCATTTGTCTTTCTGTTAAGTTGCAAGAGTTCTTTATGTGTTCTAGATATAATATTTTAAATCAGATAGATGATTTACAAAGATTTTCTGCAGTTCTCTATGTTACCTTTGCACTTTTGTGTTGAAGTCATCCAAAGCACAAAAATTTTTAATTTTGATCAAGTCCAGTTGTTCGTGCTTTGATTTCTATCTAAGAAACCAGTGCCTAATCCAGAGTCATAAAAATTTAATTTTTGCATATGGTGTGAGATAGGGGTCTGACTGTGTTCTTTTGAATGAGGATGACCAGCTGTCATGCACCATTTGTTAAAAAGACTTTTCTTCTACCATTGAATTTTTTGACATTCTTGTTGAGAGACATTTAACAGTAAAGAGTTTCTGTTCTGAAAAATATATTCACATTGTTCCCCTTTTCCCTCAATATTGTCTCTGTTAATTAAAAAACATTAGAAACCATCTCAAACTTATAGAAAAGTTAGAAGTTTAGTACAAATAATTTATTTTTCTTGAATCATTGAGAGTAAGTTGCTGAAATGATACCCCACAATGATCATATTTGTGTGTATTTCCCACCACCAAGAACATTCTCCTGTACAAAATCAGAAAATTCACATTGATATATTACAGCACTAATCTTATTACCAGCTCCCATTCAAGTTTTGTCCTTCCTCCAATAATATCCTTTGTAACAAAGTCATATACTGCATTTAATTGTCATAATTCTTTAGTCTTCTTTAATCTGGAACAGTTCCTCAATCTTTCTTGATTTTCACAACCTTGACATTTTTTAAGATTGCAGGCCAGTTGATTTTTGTTTGTTTGTTTTTGTAGAATATCTCTCAATTGTGGTTTGTCTGATGTCTCCTCATGATTAAATTCATTCAGTGCGTTTTTGGCAGGAATATCACAGAAGTTCTCAGTGTATCCTGTTGGGGGCCTAAAATTTTATCATTACCAGTGGTATTAACCTGATTGATTATTTGATTATGGTAGTGTTTTCCAGACTTCTCCATTATTATTATTTGTGTTTTTTTTTTTTTACTTTGTGACTAATAAGCATTTTGTAAGAAAGCCCTCTGAGATTTTGTAAATCCTCTTTATTAATCTTTCAATTATTTATTTATTTATATCTGTCTGCATGGAGACATGGATTCTTATTTTGTTTGATGATGTATATTCCCTTACTATCATTATTCATATTGATGCTCCATATTTGGTAGTGGGAGCCACTTCAGTTGGCTCCTTTATTTTTTGTCATGGCCCCTCATTCTTTGAGCACTTGCTTGCTTTTTGGCCTAACATGATGTTTGAGGTTTATTTGGTTTTTGCCCTGCCCTAGCCCTGGAATCTGCCTTCCTTCAAAGAGCCCTGATTCTTTTCAGTAGAGATCACTAGAAACAAAGATGCATACTGGGGAGAGATGCTGATCTCAGGACATCTCAGGGGACAGAGCTAGGGAATAGTTTTTTTCCCTGTATGTCCAGACATTTGCATCTCTCTTTCTATTGAATTTCATGAGTTCATATCAATAGCTGTAATTCTAGTTCAAACCAGAGGGATCATTCTATTCTTTCACTTTTCCATATTTGTAACTTCCTTTTTAGACTATGAGAAAACTGGGTCTTATTATTTTTAATAGTTTTACTTACTTGATCATCTCTATGTAGTTACCTCATCTCTTACAGCTATTACTGCATTCCCCCAATGTCTTACAGCCTCCCCTCCCCCAGGTAGAAATTCTTTTTTTTTTTTTAATGTTTTATTTATTTCTAGGAGAGAGAGAGAGAGACAGCGTGAGCAGGGGAGGGTCAGAGAGAGAGGGAATCACAGACTGAAACAGGCTCCAGGCTCTGAGCTGGCAGTAAGCACAGAGCCCGACGCGGGGCTTGAACCCACAAACCGTGAGATCATGACCTAAGTGAAAGTCGGACGCTTAACCGACTAAGCCACCCAGGTGCCCCTAGAAATTCTTTTCACCCTTATCTGGCTTTATCTCTTTGCACTGGTATGCTCACTTCTGAGGACTGTGCCCTCATTAGCTTGGTCTCCACTACGCTGTGCCACCCGGGCACTGAGCTGCTGTGCTTATTTCATTTAGCTTTATTTAATATCTCATGCCAGGCTGTCCCCGTGAGGATCTCCTTCTTACCCTCCTCTGGCTCGGAGATCCTGTGCTGTGCTGCTGCCCTCCTATAGGGACATAATCCTTCTTCCCCTGCTCTGGGCTCTGACACTAATGCTTGGCCAGCATGACCAGTCTCACGTAATGGCTTTTAGGCTGAATTGTTTGTGAAGGGGCTTCACAATGTTTTTTGAGATAAGATGAAGTTTTTGGGGCTATCTGTTGAGAATTAAAAGTTAGCACTTTATAAGAAGGAAAAAAAACTCAGGTAGCTTGAAAATTTCACATTTTAGGCAGTTACTGGTAGAGTTCTAAAAGGATTCCTCCTTTGGCTAACATTTACTATAACACTTGATTTATAATTATTTGAATCAATGTACATTGGTTAATGAGCTGTTCTGACTGAGGAAATTAGAAAAGAAATAGTAATTTACATCTACAAAATAATATTCATTTTTCTTCTAGCTCTTCCACCAAAGCCACCTAAGCCAATGACTTCAGCTGTTACAAATGGAATGAAGGACAGTTCTGTTTCTCTTCAGGATGCAGAATGGTACTGGGGGGATATTTCAAGGTAACTAGAATGCTACTATAATTCAATGCAGTTTAAAAACAAATTATTTTGGGGAATTAGTTAAAAATAAAACATTTTAATGCACTACTAGTTGTTTTTTAAAGATTACTATTTTCGTATGTGAGAACATTTCAAAAGTTTCTAAATCCTGTCCTTCCCACAAAAAAATGGCAAGAAAATCATTGTTACAGGTGTGATCATTACTTTTAATACTGTATTGAGGGTAGATTTCTGAATAAATGAAACTTCAACCTTTAGGATAGCTACATGTGTTTTAGGATAAAAGATAGTTGCAGGTACTTAATTTTCTTTACCTTTCTGTGTCTAAGTCAGTAGTTCTACAGTCTTTTCATTTTCATGCACAAGAACCAATCGAGGCAGGGCCCAGGAATCTGCATTTAACAGTCTCCCCAGGTGATTTTGATGTACTCTTCACATACCTCATTTTAAGAAACGGGACTCTAAAACAGTTTACTTTTTGGGTAAAATGTGATTTTGGAAAAATTTGAACCTAGAGAAGATAAATATATATATTGAATTTAAATATTCAAATTTCTTGTTTTTCTCAAATTTTGTTTTAGAAAAGACCCATCCATTTTCTGTCAAATTAGGTTACAGTCTGATGCTATATTCTTCAATATGCTTGTGTTTCTCTTTCTCTTGTCTGTTCTCTTTAATTCCCAGAGTGGCACTCATTTCTTTCTTTTTCCCTTTATTACCATTTTAACCATCTTTAAATGTCCAGTTTGGTGTCATAAAGCACATTGACAGTATTGTTCAACCGTCACCACCATCCATCTCTGGAACTATTTCATCTTCCCAAAGTGAAACTTGTATTCATTAAACAGTAATTGCCTTTTCCTCCTAGTCTCCCCAGGCCTCAGAAACCACCATCCTACTTTCTGTTTCAATGAATTTGACTGCTCTAGCTAGGTACTTCACATAAGTGGAATCCTACCATATTTATCCTTGTGTGACTGGCTTATTTCACTTAGCAAAATGTCTTCAAGGTCCATCCATGTTATAGCATGTGTTAGTATTTTCTTCATTTTTTAAGGCTGAATAATATTCCATTATGTGTATATACACCACATTTTTATTTATTCATTCATCTGGACATTTGGCTTTGAACATTTGGATTGTTTACAGCTTTTGGCTATTGTGAATAATGCTGCCATGAACATTGGTGTATAAATGTTTATTCAAGCCTGGCTTTTAGTTCTTTTGGGTGCATGCCCTGAAGTGGAATTTCTGAGTTACATGGTAATTCTATGTTTAATTTTTTTGGAGGAGACTTAACATATTTTATATTAAAATGGATCATAAAATTTTTATTTTATAATTGTACAATAAAATGATCTGTTAGATTTAAATATCATTTAAATTTATATTCTCTTTTTTTTAAGTTTTATTTTGAGAGGAGGGGGAGCACAAGCATGTGGGGGGTGAGGGGCAGAGAGAATCAAGCGTGGGACTTGAACCCACCAACTGAACTATGATCTCATGACCTGAGTTGAAACCAAGAGTCTGTTGCTTAACCAACTAAGCTACCTAGTTGCCCCTTAAACTTATATTCTAAGATCATGTGGGTCTGTAAATCAAGAGCCTTCTGTGCCCTCCTATTTCCCGAGTGTTCTAGTGTTCTTTCTTAAAGTCCTAAACCAAGTCTAGGAGGAATTTATCATCAGTATAAATTCAAATTGGAGATTACATTGAAAGGTTGTGAACTTAGTGAATTCCCCCCCTCCCCCGATCAGATACAGCTGCCATTGTTGCTTAAACATACCTTCTTTCTAAACAGTTGCTGGTTTTTCCTGAAACCCTATAAATTCAGACTTGTCTAAGGAAGCCCTAAAGGCTTAATGGACACACTGTTTCCCTACAGACGTTTGAAATCTGGAAGAGTTTAAAAAGCAAATAGCCTATCCTTAGGTTGCATAATACCAAAAATCAAAACAGAAAACTCATATCTAGGAGGAGGAACTAAATGACCTCTGAAGGCCCCCATAAATCTGTGACCTTAGACATACTCCCCTCCTAACTATCCTAGTAGTAATATGTGAAGAGAACAGTCGACTAATCGACTGATCAATTAATGTGAAGAGAACAGTCAATGATTACATTTTGTTTTTCATATAATTCTGTTTTTCAGGGAGGAGGTAAATGACAAATTACGGGATATGCCAGATGGTACATTTTTGGTCAGAGATGCTTCAACAAAAATGCAGGGAGATTACACCTTGACTTTGCGGTGAGTATTTTTCAGCATTTGATTAGTGTTCTACTGCCATTATTTATTTCTGGGTATACAGAGATTTTTGTATTTATTTAAATGTTTATTTACACATTTAAAAATAATTTAGATACATCATTTTTTAAAGTTTATTTATTTTGAGAAAGAGCACAAGCTGGGGAGGGGAGTAGGGGGAGAGAGAGAATCCCAAACAGGTTCCAAATTGTCAGTGCAGAGCCCAGTGCAGGGCTCAGACTTATGAACTGTGAGGTCATGACCTGAGCTGAAACTTAGAGTCAGACACTTAACTTACTTGAGCCACCCAGATGTCCCTAGATACATACTTTTTAATGGTTTGGCTAACTATCCTTTCTCTTGTACATTAAGTATTTAAATGTCTTATATAAAAATGGCAATAATTTTTATTTTTATGTAGGAATAAAACAAAAGGCTAAAATCCCTAAAAGTAAGGAAGTAAGAAGACCTTGTGAGTAAAATAGAAGTCCTGGGCACAGCCTGAGGTTATTAATGATCTGTTGGAATCCATCCGTCTAATAACCCTATTATTTTCCTCAGTGCTTCAGACTTCAGAGAGTAAAACTCAACATAGTTTAGGCTGATAAGGATATGTAGAGCAATTCTCAGCCTATAGTGAAGCCATCCATGTGGGCATATTAGAATTTTCTAAGTGGTGGGGGGTGTATCACCTTTTATATTTATGAAGATAGGACATATGTTTTAAAAGATTAGGAAAACTACATTAGATACTTTTACATTTAACTTAATTTTTTATATTTACTTTTAACAATTAAAATAGCCTAATTACAATAAAGTACTGTGATTTTTTAAAAAAGGGACTATCTAAAGAAAAATATAATGAAAACAGTAATGATAACAGCTTCCTTGTACTAAACATTTTATGTGCATTATCTTATTCACAACAACGTTATGAGATAGGTATTATTCATATTTCCATTTTATAGATGAGGCAACTGAAGCTTAACCTGGTTAAGAAACTTACCTGAAGACACGTAGCTAGTAAGTGGCAGAGGATGGGTACAGATCCAGATTTATCTGACTCTTTATTATCTTTCTGCCTACTATCTTTAGGAAAAGTCATGTATTTTGTGCTAGAAATTTGGAGTTTCTGGTAAAGATATAAGAAATTAATACCTTGGGACTTTAGTCGTGCTGAGGAATAATCAGTGTTCTACAATGATTCATTTCACTGTTTTTTCCCCCCCATTCGAGTCAGGCTTCTGTCTCTACCAGTCTACAGGGACTACTAAACCAATGACTAGCTACTTCCCTCTTTTGTGTGTGTGTTTGTGTGTTGCGCGCACACACACATTTATTTATTTATTTACATCCAAGTTCATTACCATATAGTGCGATAACGATTTCAGGAGTAAATTCCAGTGATTCATCCTCTATGTATAACAACCAGTACTTCTCCCAGTAAGTGTCTTCCTTAATGCCCCTTACCCATTTAGCCCATCCTCCCATCCCCAACCCCTCCAGCAACCCTCAGTTTGTTCTCTGTACTTAAGAGTCTCTTATGTTTTGTCCCCTTCTTGTTTTTGTATTATTTTTGCTTCCCTTCCCTATGTTCATCTGTTTTGTATCTTAAATTCCTCATATGAGTGAAGTCATATTTGTCTTTCTCTAATTTCGCTTAGCATAATACCCTCTAGTTCCATCCATGTAGTTGCAAATGGCAGTATTTTATTCTTTTTGATTGCTGAGTAATACTCCATTGTGTATGTATATATACCACATCTTCTTACGTTCATCTATTGAGGGACATTTGGGGTCTTTCCATACTTTGGCTATTGTCAGTAGTGCTGCTGTAAACTTTGGGGTGCATGTGCCCCTTTGACACAGCACACCTGTATCCCTTGGATAAATACCTAGTAGTGCAATTGCTGGGTTGTAGGGTAGTTCTATTTTTAGTTTTTGAGGAACTTCCATATTGTTTTCTAGAGTGGCTGCACCAGTTTGCATTCTTACCAGCAGTGTAAAGGAGATCCTTTTTCTCCTCATCCTTGCCAACATCTGTTGGTCCTGAGTTGTTAATGTTAGCCATTCTGCTAGCGTGAGGTGGTAGCTCATTGTGGTTTTGATTTGTATTACCCTGAGAGTGAGTGATGTCTTTTCATGTGTCTGTTAGGCATCTGGATGCCTTCTTTGGAGAAGTGTCTATTCATGTCTTTTGCCAAATTCTTCACTGGCTTATAATAATAATAATAAATATATAAATATTATTATTATTATTATTATTAGGGGGGTGTTGAGTTTGACAAGTTCTTTATAACTTTTGGATTCTAACCCTTTATCTGACATGTCTTTTGCAAATCTACTCCCATTCCATTGGTTGCCTCTTAGGTTTGCTGATTGTTTCCTTTGCTGTGCAGAAGCTTTTTATCTTGATGAGATCCCAGTAGTTTATTTTTGCTTTTGTTTCCCTTGCCTCCGGAGACATGTTAAGTAAGAAGTTGCTGCGGCTGAAGTCAAAGAGTTTTTTGCCTGCTTTCAACTCTAGGATTTTGATGGTTTCCTGTCTTATGTTTAGGTGTTTCATCCATTTTGAGTTTATTTTGTGTATGGTGTAAGAAAGTGGTCCAAGTTCGTTTTTCTGCATGTAACTGTCCAGTTTTCCCAGCACCATTTGCTGACAAGACTGTGGATGTTCTTTCCTGCTTTGTCAAAGATTAGTTGGCTGTATGTTTGTGGATCCATTTCTGGGTTCTCTGTTCTGTTCCCTTGATCCGAGTGTCTGTTTTTGTGCCGGCACTATACTGTCTTGATGATTACAGCTTTGTAATACATTTTGAAGTCTGGGATTGTGATGCCTCTAGCTTTGGTTTTCTTTTTCAGGTTTACTTTGGCTATTCTGGGTCTTTTCTGGTTCCATACAAATTGTAGGATTGTTTGTTCTAGCTCTGTGAAGAATTCTGGTGTTATATTGTTTTTTTGTTTTTGTTTTTGTTTTTGTTTTTAAATGTTTTTTATTTATTTCTAGGAGAGAGAGAGACAGAGTGAGCAGGGGAGGCTCAGAGAGAGAGGGAGTAACAGACTGAAACAGGCTCCAGGCTCTGAGCTGGCAGTCAGCGCAGAGCGCGACACGGGGCTCGAACCCACGAACCGCGAGATCATGACCTAAGCGAAAGTCGGACGCTTAACTGACTAAGCCACCCAGGCGCCCCAGTATCGACATTTTAACAATATTTGTTCTTCAGTCCAGGAGAATGGAATATTTTTCCATTTTTTTTGTGTGTGTGTCTTCAGTTCTTTTATAAGCTTTCTATAGTTTTCAGTGTATAGATTTTTCACCTCTTCGGTTAATTCTATTCCTAGGTATTTTATGGTTTTCGGTGGAATTGTAAATGGGATCAATTCCTTGATTTCTCTTTCTTTTGCTTCATTATTTGTGTATAGAAATGCAACTGATTTCTGTGCATTGATTTTATATCCTGCGACTTCACTCAGTTCATGAATCAGTTCTAGCAGTTTACTGGTGGAATCTTTTGGGTGTTCCATATAGACTGTCATGTCTGTGACTTCTCACTTCTTACCTCACCTGACTTCTTAGTAGCATTAGTCATAGGCACTTCTTAGAAACAGTTTATTGTCTTGGCTGTGGTGACACCACACGCTTCTAATTTTCTTCCTAACTCTAGACCAGCCACTCCTTTGCTCTGTATCTACATTTTAAGTGTTCCAGGCTCAGAGTTGGGTCTCCTTGTCTCCTCTATATTCATCCTACCAACGCGAGCTAGTCCTATTCTGTGGCTTTAACAGGCAATTAAATGGTGGTGATTCATAAAACTCATCTCTAACTCTGACCCCCAGAACTCCACATGCATATATCCTGTTGCCTATTTGACTTTGCCATTTAGATAACCAGCAGATGTATTAATTTTAAAATGGTCAAAGCAAAATATTTTCTTTCTTTTTCTTTCTTTTTTATTTTTTGAAATGTTTATTTGAGAGAGAGAGAGAGAGAGAACAAGTGGGGAAGGGGCAGAGAGAGGAAGACAGAGAATCCGAAGCAGGCTTCTTTCTGTCAGCATAGAGCCTGGCATGGGGCTCAAACCCACAGAACTGTGAGGTCATGATCTGTGCTGAAGTCAGATGCTCAGTTGACGGAGTCAACGAGGTGCCCCAGAATTTTTTTTACTTCTAACCCAACTCTTCCTACTCAAATTGTTTCTCTTCTAGTCTTCCCTTTTCTTCCTTCCTTCCTCCCTTCCTCCCTCCCTTCCTTACTTCTAAAATAGAACCACCATTGGGGTGCCTGGGTGGTTCAGTTAAGCATTCAGCTTCAGTTCAGGTGATAATCTCGCAGTCTGTGAGTTCGAGCCCTGTGTCTGGCTCTGTGCTGACAGCTCAGAGCCTGGAGCCTGCTTTGGATTCTGTTTCTCCCTCTCTTTTTACCCCCTTCCTGACTCATGTTCTGCCTCTTTCTCTCAAAAATGAATAAATGTTTAAAAAAACAAAGAAATAGAGCCACCATCTCTACAGTACTCAAGTTACAACTCTTTTTCCCTAACACTCACATCCAAATCCATCGTTAAACAGCCCTGCCAACTTTACCCCCAAATCTGTATTTGTAATTTCACCTTTATCTCAAAATCTATTTTCATAATCTTGTCACACTTGTCTGCCACCCAACACTAACCACTATCATCTTGCTTGATCTTTTGCAGTCATTTCCTGAAAGGCCTCTCAGCATCTTATAATTTCTAGTGTTCCCCACCCTTTTTGACCACTTTCCACAGAGCAACCCAGAGTGATCATTTTAAGATATGAGTCTGATTACTCTTTTGCTTAAAATTCTTTTAAGAGTTTTCCTACTACACTTAAGGTAAAGAATTTGGATTTTATTCTAACTTCCAAAACTCTGATCTGGTCATGATCTACTTTTTTTTTTTTTTTTTTAAGTTTATTTATTTTGAGAGACAGAACAGAGGAGGGGCAGAGAGTGGGAGAGAAAGAATCCCAGGCAGGCTCTGTGC